GGTCAAATTGCAGAACAAAGCACAATCCACATGGAGCAGCTACATGTACCCTTACACAATGGGCATTGGCACTCTATTTTCAGGCAGCCAACGCTAACATCTTGACATCACCATTGCACTGGCAATGTGCCCTGCAAGGCCAGGCTTGTCTAGTAGAGTACACCAGTAACCAACAGTGTGCACTTGCATTGGGTACATGTACCCAACAGGGGCAGGAGCCCAGTCCACAGTGTGGACGAGGCTGCCTGCCAAGGCTGCTCCCTTACTCTGTCAGCAAACATTCAACTGGTGCCTACCGATATACCCACAATGTCCATGTCTTGCCTTCCCTGACTTGTATTGCAGTGGCACTTGGCATAGTCACTCAACCAGGCAGCTGCACGCGCTACACAGCAGTCCTGAGTCAAGAGGGACTTCAGCTTGTCATATGTCAGTGTGTGACATCACTTGTGCATTTGTACCTGTAGCACCAGCTGTGGACTGGTGGTATGACCTCCTCTGCCAGTCCTTCAGAAAGAGGGCTCCTCTCCTATCATCCGTACCATCCATCGGACCTTCAGGTCCTCCTCCAAGAAGTGTGGTGCTAGCCGCTCATTCTCCAAAATCTCTCCAGACTCCTTCCGTGACTGAGCTTGCAGATACCAATGCTCCTGCAGATGTCACTCCTGCAGACACAAGGGGCGCAGGTCTTTGGAAAATGAGTGAGCTGCTCTGGGTACAGCATGTGGTAAGATGAAGCAGAAATCAGACATAATACTCACCATAAGGCTAGGAACACCAATTAATATAACAAATTTGTTAAAAGTTGATGAGAGGATACACTCAGCCTCACAGTGAAAATCGCGCCACCAAACCTGACACAAAACACAATTAGCTCAACAAAATGTAGGATTCAGCTCATTGGACCATGACATGTTTGACCAGAATTTGGCCCATTGAGTCTGTCATTCAATCATTGTTGATAAGTTTCTCAACCCCGTTCTCCTGTCATTCTCCTGTAACCTTTGACCCCCTCACTAATCAAGAACCTATCTATCTCTGCCTTAAGTATACTCAGTGACTTGGCCTCCACAACCCTCTGACCCAATGAGTTTCACAGATTCACCACCCTCTGGCTGAAGAAACTCCTCATTAGCTCAGCTCTAAAGGGTCATCTCTTCACTCTCAGGCTGTACACTCTGTTCTTTGCCTCTCATATTAGTGGAAACATCTTCTCCACATCCATTCTTTCCAGGCCTCTCAATATTTTGTAAGTTTCAATGAGGTCCTGACTCATCCTTCTGAACTCCATCAAATACTGACCCAAAGTCCTCAACCACTCCTCATATGACAAGCCCTTCATCCCCGGGATCATTTTGTAAACCTCCTCTGGATTTCAACACAAGCATATCCTTCTTTCGATACATGCCCCCTAACTTCTCACTCAGTCTACACTGAACTAGTACTCCTAATTCCCTTTCATGAAACTATGCTTGCTCACCTCTATTTTATGATGCACTCTGCAATCTCATCCTTAAGAATGGACCTAAAATCTTACCAACGACCAACATCACATTAACCGGCCTATAGTCTTCTGTTTGCTGTGTCTATCCCTTCTTAAACACAGGTGTTACATTGGCCATTTTCCAGTCCTCTGGGGCTCTCCCTGACTCCAGTGATTCCTGAAAGATGTTTTCATGCACACTTTTAACTAGAGAGTTGGGAGGGCTAGAAGTGATATATAGACTGCAAACCATTATAGATTCCTGGCATTGACCAACACTGAAGTCACATGCTCAGATTAAATTCAATAAACAGCCATGAGTGTAAGAATAATGAGGATCTGTGCTACATGGGTACAGTCATTTATCGATGAGGTCCAAAGTATAATTCAACAAAATGACTAATAGAAGTCTGAAAGAATTGTTACTGTGGAGTTGGTTAAATATCATTAGAAATCTCTCTTTAAAAAGTGCTTTGTGAGGAATATGTTAAAACCCCTATTTTATTGATAACTATGTCTCCTATGTTCTATAAACACATCAGAACTCTATGTACATTCTTACTGACTTCATGGATTTCAGATAACTATCCTTCTTAAAATGACCCAGAACTGAGTTGATGATAATTCTGACTTATCAGCAAAGTGAAAATCAGGGTTTCTTTTTACTTATGTAATGAGTTCCTAACAAGGATATGTGATGTATTCACAGAACCAAACACCTGGTCATGAAAAATGTTTGTTTTTTTTCATCACATAAACCCGTGTGTCTGTCATGGAATTCTTTGACCTGACTTATTAACCACGCTAAGTCAAAAAATGCATTTTTATCAAAAAAAACGCGTAAAGATTTGAAGAAAGTAAAATAGTTTTTGTGCTTCAGTGGCAATGTATGCTCCCACCAACCAGTGATTCTTCTGTTAGGTATTTCATCCCTCAAGGCATTTGAAGGGAAGGGCAAATAGACATAAACCCTTTGAAATAAACTTGTAAGACTTCTTAATTTCCTGTATTCTATATCCTTATGGCCTAGTTATTTATGATTGTGGCACTTAACATCAATTTTCAGAACAGTGTTATTAAAATCATTCAAGATCATTTTACTTAGTCCTTGAAAACTGCCGAGGAGAAGGGAACCTTGATTTGTATTGAGGTGACAAAGTGAATAGGTACTGTTCTAACATGCAAAAACAGTGCAATCTTTAGCTATATTCTAATTTATTCTTAAAACAGGCCCATACAAGAGATTGGGAGTTGAGTTCCCATGTACCAGATCCTTGAGATGTATATCCTTCTATATCAAAGCCACAAATTCATAAAAAGTTTGTATGAATTTGAAATGTTTAAAGAGGTCAGAAACCATAAAGACTGATTTGGCATATCTAGTTTATCTTTTACTAATTCAAATCTTTACATCAATGCTTAAATGAATATAACACTGTATTAAATGTTAAATTGTCTTTAACTTAGTTGAGAAGTATTAATGATGCTACTTACAAAAGACTGTACCGTTATAAAGACTACAAAATTATACCCCTAAAATAACAGAATTTCATTGCCTGCAAAACACAAAGTGATGAAGAAGATGAAATAGTCTGTAACAGAATTAATATAAGACAGAGATTTGTTATTCCAGATACACTTCAAATGATAATGGGCTAAAGTTCATTCAGAATGATATAATTGTTCCATATGTGCAAAATCCACTTATATTGTCCTCAATTAAAAAATAATTTCTGCAGCTTAATCCTATAATCTTGCTTTTTTGTTTTAATTAGTATGCAATTCCATTTGAAGTCATTTTTTGGAATGAGATATCAGCAGCATTTTATAGTTAAACTATATCATAATCCTGATGCTACTTACTTCAAAGGTGCTTTGTTTCTTTCTGTTTCCAAAAACAAGTGATACATTAATTTTACTACATGTCCAGTTACAGGGCAATATTGGACTAAAGCAGATATGGTGGTCTCTCTCAGTCTCAGGAGGGAAGGGGATCCATTTATTGAGATACTCTTAAAAACATCTCTGGAAACAACATTCCTTCCAGATCACACCTCACTGCCAGGACAACAGAAATGTTACTCTTGGATGCAAAGGCCACAATCCTTGCAAATTACTCACTGGGCAGTTCAGGCATTGAGACAGTTTGTAGGTCAGACATAAAGTTTCAAGTCCTAACTTGAACACGCTCACACATGCCCAGATGTAGTTGTTTTCCTAATGTTCTAATGGTATGGAATCTGACCTATCATAGCTCTTGATGTGCACAGCACATATGCTGCAGAAACCATTTTGAAGCGATTCTGCAGTATGAATACATGGGACAGAAAACTACTTTCTATGTTGGTGAAGCCCTACAACAAATTACAGTTTTGAATAAACTCAAAGAATGCTGGAGAAACTCAACAGGTCTGGCAGTACGTGTAGAGAGAGAAACAGTACCAATATTTTGAGTCCAGTTTGACTGTTGTTCAGAAAATTCTGAATAAGAGTCATACTGACTTGAAACATTGGATTATTTTCTCTCTCCATAGATGCTGCCAGACCTGCTGAGTTTCTCCAGCATTTTCTATGCTTGTTTCAAATTCCCATCATCGCCAGTATTTGTTTTTATTTTATTGATTGTTTAATTTTTAAACTAAATTTGCATGATCATTCTGCAGAAGCTAACACATTTCACACCAATATTTTAGTATTTTATTAACCGAATTCTGCACTTGAACAAATAACAAATGATCATGGAGTGACTAATTTGTACATGGGGCATCTCATCAATAAGTGGCATTCATGGAAAATACAGGATCCGGAAGACATATGTGCAACATGTAGGGGAGCTGCATAATAAACCCATACTCCCATGTTTTTGTATGTATCCCACGTTTACCTTTTAACAGAACCTGGTGTGCTGAGGATTTGTCCATGAATGAGACAACAGTACTAACAGCTCATATAGTCAAAACTTCAGAAGAGAAGCATCAGCAAACAAGAAGGCAAGTATCAATACAATTGAGTTGCTTATGTCAGCGTGTCAAGGGTTGGATGGTATATCCGATCCACTGGCTATAAGATGGATATATCTGTATTGAAATATTTTAATGAAATAGCACAGGCTCAAAATGCATTAGCATTCATCTGTGCAGAGAAGACTAGGAAAGCTGCTTCAATACTTACAGCTGGATTTTTTTTCACACAAGATCTCACCATGGCTTTTGAAAGGAAAGTAATGCAAATTTTTGCACACAATTCATCATTAAAGAAAATTTCAACAAGATCATAGGGTTAAAGATTCTGTAAGTGCGTGTTTGTTGGTCAAGTCTTCCTGGGCGAGGCCAGGTGTCAGTTTCTGAAGGCAAAGACTTCCCCTAAAGCAGAAAATCCTTTACATGTCAAAGTGGGGGGCGGGGTAGAGAAAAGAATTGCTGTTTATTGGACTGTTGTCTCAGACAGTCTGACAGCACATATGTTGAGACAGGTAGATAAGGGTTGGATTTCAGAAATCTCAAATGGTTGTTCCTCATCTCAGGCTAAGTCGATGAGCCTCTCTTTAGTTTCTTTTGTTTGACTTTACACTTTGCTTTACTTTTCCTTTTAGCTACACAATGTACATTTCTTTCTCCTTTTGTTTGTTTTTCTCAAACTACCTTTCAACTTATAACATGTTTGCCTTTGATTTTTTTAAAAGATGTCTTTCATTTTCTACTTTCCTCCTTCTTTCTGTCAACCCTTTGTAAACATCTCTATCACTTCCTTGTGTCAAACATGCTCTCATCTGTGAATTATCACTTTATAGGGTCTTACAAACTTCTCAGGAAAGTTAAACATTTGCACTACAAAAATGGCAAACTGCTTATTCCTGGTTTGGTGACCAACATGTGAGGAGACCTGGTGAGTGACGTAAGTTTTATAACAATTTACTGGTAACAGGAATTTGACAGGCTTAGAAGCATGATGTTCAGTAAACAGCTTTCTCCAAGAAACAGAAGTATGGATGATTCATCATTTTTAAGACAAGCTAACTAACTGATAAGGTACTTATTAATTCCTTATCTCTTTAGACTTTTTTTTTGCTGCTTTATAGGCCCAACTACATCAGGTGTTGTTCTCTGAGTAAAAGGATAAATTATTTATATGTTCCCATGAGCATCCCCATGCCACTCCTAAACTTGCTGCTAGATGGTATGCAACAGATTATGGGTTGACTTAACCTTCAGTTTCTTTCTCCCTCTGATTTAAACAATTTGATTCCACTTGGAAGGTGGCTTATTTCAGTTCAAAACTGACTTCATCCATGTGAAGAATCTGTTTCTTGGCAATGCCTGCGTGCTGGATGTCATGTAGCTATTTACTGAGCTGTTGTGGTCCTCAAAATGCATTCCCAGCTCTAACAAAGTGTACCTTTTGTTAAAATGGTTGGGAACGTAAAACAACTACATTTTCAGCTGCTTTAGCAAAAAATATTTAAACATTCTTTTTTCCTATCTCAGGCTATTTTTAAGTGAGAGATTTAATTATGTTGTTTGAGGTACACTGTAACCCTATCCTTTGCTTTAAAAGAAATGGTTTCACATTTCAGTAAAACAGACTTTGAAGAAAGACAGGATTTATTTTTTGAAAAAGGATTATCTTCGTAGAATTTCATTCAAACATAAACAAGGATCAAAAGAAAAGTTTGATGTTCCAAACTGCAGAAGTATCTCGTAGTACTCAAGAGTCCAACTAAAATCAAGTAAATGTTTATATTTCAGAAGAATGTCAGAGGAAGAATTACCAGACAAATGATTTTGAAATATCTGCTTTATGGCCAGACTATGAATCAAATTGAAATGTTTAAAATTCTCCTGTCTATTAATAAGTTGGAATCAAGTCAAAGTTTTGAAAGGCCGTCATAAATTTTTGAGGAAACTACACATTTTATAGACTAGAATATTCTTGGCATTCCTTTAGTATTTAGCTATGTTATAAAAAGTTAGACTTGAGAGGGAAGAGATATCCAAATACAATTCTCTTAGAAACTTAATACAGATATGGAGAACATCACTAAGCACTGTTTTTTACTAACAAAATTGTACCTGACCAGTTTGATTCCTATTGATGGATAAAAGCCAAGACATAAAAAGACAAGCTAATTTGTCTCATACTTCAGACATCAGAAGATGGTACAAGAAATCCTTGCAGAATATCTCTCCCCAAAACTGAAATGTTTTTAAATTTTTATTCAGAGTACCAACAGTTATGAAAGGGTTAATGTGCTTAACAGTTTCAAATCGTTGTAGGACTGCAAAAGCAATGCAGTCAATAAAGAGTGAATGCGGTTAGGAAAGAACAATGGCTGTTTGTCTTTTAGTGCCTGTAGCAGCCTGCAAAAGGGAGGTATGTACGACAAGTCTGAAATGGCCTGAAAAATTTGCAGTTGTCAGGTGTACTCAGTGAGAGGTGTGGACCTCTTCGCTCTAAATCTGCTTTCAGAGTATTTTTATCCCAAAGATCTGGCAGTTGATTTTTCCCAAAAGGAAACTGTCTTTTCAACTGATTTGTGTAGTTGCTTATGTGCAAGAGGTGCGCATGCAAGTTTAACAGCTTAACCATTTCAGTATTGGATTATCTTAGCTACACATTGCTAATAAAGATTTCTAATGCTAAAATGATGGTTACTTAACAAAACTGAACATTGCAAAACAAGAAAAAAATTCAACTGATTGACATATTTTCTTGCAAAATGTATTTTTACTTATTGGAATTTAATTCTTTCAACTTGTCGCAAAGTGTGTGTATGAGGAATCAAATACAAATCAATCTGTCATCAGCCTATGTTTACAGAGATTCACATTAGAAACATACACCTCCTCACCAAACAGCAAAGGCTTTGGTCTGTTTTGTTTTATAGGGCACAATTGTGAATCCTGCAAACAATTTTAACAATATCAATATAAAATTAACACTACTTATATTCTTACATTTCACAAATGACTCATTTAAAATTCTCATTTCTTTAAAAAATAATATTTCTATGCTCCACAATCTTAAAAAGTGCCCAAGGCGCATTACATCTTAAACTATATCCAAAGCATTTCAAAGACATGAACACTTCCTTAAGGGACCATGCTGAACTACAAGCAATCACACAGTTGAGACTATCCAATTAATCTTCTGTTCAGTTTCTGATAAACTGTTGGCCATATTTAATATTTTCTTTCAATTCTTCTGGCCCCTAATTAACAGTTTGAGTTTGATTACCTTTGTGTCCTGTGCTACAATTCTATTGTAAAAATTAGAAAATTAGTGTCAACTTCATAACAGGTCATTTCATGGGATCTACTGAAATTTTTTAATGCCATCGTAAAATAGTGAGTTCTTTAATTTTTTTCTTCTTTCTCTCTATTTTAGAAAGATGTGCCAGAACTGGAACAAGCAAGCTGTCACTGTGTTATAAGTACCAGTCCTTGACACCTGAGACTGGAATGTTTTCAATTATATAATATTAAAATCTGTAACTTGAGGTATTCCACCTAAAGACTTGCACCGTCTTCAAAGGCAGAATAGCTATGTGTATGGCTAAAGGCTGTCAACTAAAGGCATGAAATTACTAAAAAAAAACTAAATAAGACTATTATTACTTTATGAAGATAATTATTAATATACTGGAGCCTTTTCACGAGTCTTGTTAAAAATATAGCATTAAAGATGTTATTTAACTGGGATAGTTTAGTCCATTTGAAACCATCTATTCAGCTGATAGGCAGGTAGGAAACTCAGAAACTTAAGTTACTATACGACTGCAAAACTTACTCAATGTCTTCCATTCCAGTTACTTCCAGTCAGACATTTGTGAGAGCTCATCAATTTCAAAAAAAATGCTTTGATTCTATTAGTTGGAAAAAAGAGGTTTGGTACTGAGTAATTTACTTTGCTTTGCTAGAATTGTACACTGTATAGTCAGATCAGGAACCCAGGTGAAATTTGTGGAGAAATCCAATAGTTCTAATGGTTTCACCTGCATTCTCAGAAAGAGAGTTATTATGAAACCCAAAAGGTCATAAAGTATAGGGACAGAATTAGGCCATTCAGCCAACAAATCTGCTCTGCCATTCGATCATGGCTGATATGTTTCTCAACCCCATTCTTCTGCCTTCTCTCCATAACCCTCAACCCCCTTAGCAATCAAGGAACTATCTATCTCTCTCTTAAATACATTCAATGACTTGGCCTCCACAGCCTTATGCAGCAATGAGTTCCACAGATTAACCACACTCTGGCTAAAGAAATTCCTCCTCGTCTCAGTTCTAAAGGGTTATCTCTTCACTCTGAGGCTGTACCCTCAGTTTCTTGTCTCTCATACCAGTGGAAACATCTTCTCCAGTCCACTCTATCCAGACCTCCCAGTAATTGATAAGTTTCACTGAGATCCCCCCCTACATCCTTCTAAACTCCATTGAAAACAGACCCAGAATCCTCAAACACTCCTCGTATGACAAGCCCTTCAGGATCATTCTTGTAAACCTCCTTTGAACTTCCGTCAACACTTGCACACCAGCTAGCTTACTCTCGTATTTCATCTTCTCTCCCCTTGTATTTTTAGTTGTCCACTCCTGGTTATTAAGGTCCTCCTAAACCACTGACTCTCATTAATCTTCACCACACTGAAGATTCTGAAGCCACAGAGCGGCTGAAAGGACTAGAACTGAGGATAAAGTATACACTCAACATTTGAGTTGTGTACAAGTGTAAAACAGATTTGAGTCATACAAGCAAAACAAGTTGATACAAGACAATATGTTTACAGGGCAGCTTCAACTAATGGAACAAGGTGCAGCATGTTATCATGTATTAGAATTAGGTTTGACATAATGAATAGAATGAGATAATCCCTCTTAAATTTCAAAGTACTTCAAAATAATGGCATTTTGACCAATGCACAATAAACGTGCAACACTTTGTGTTAAAAATGACTGTCAATGAAAATATTTGCCAGCTTGGGCATTAAGATACAATGCACAAATAGTTTTTCACGTGTAAATCCAAGTCAATTTAATTGGAAGTAAAGCAGGGTAATATGTACTGAAAATGCCCAATAGTTTTGGACACCCATAAGTGTGAGTGCATAGGAAATGATAATTAATCCATTCTTAAATTACATGAAACATACATTCAAAACCACAGCTAATATTTTATTAACATTCCATATTTGAATATATAGAAATGTAATGCATGCATCTGTGGCTTCTGAGAATATGACCATGTTAGTGAAAGAAGTTAACTGATGCTATAAGACTGGATGCCATCCAGCACTTCCTAGTGATGTATTGATGAAATCCATGCATTCTGCTGTCCTTCATTCCACCGGAGTCTGTTCCATAACCAATCAGATTTCAGTGGAGTGAAGTGCAGGAGACATGGAACACAATCTTCCAATCAACACTGACTGAGAACGAAGGCTAAACTGAACAATTCGCTCCAAGAAAAGGACAGAAACCTGTCAACCCAGCTTTGTGAAGCACAAAAAAGTAATCTATCACTACAAACCTGCATATAAAGAAATACAGGGCAATAAAGTAATTCAGTGTTGACTTATGAATGAGTTATAGTCAGAAACTTCTTACAATATTATAATTATTCAGGGTTTAGTCTGGGAAAGTGAGAAATTGAATAACATTCTAAGATTTGTCTTGTTAGACTCCCTAAACTTGATGCAACAAACACAGTTCTGGGCTTTCTTATCTTGTGCATATTTAGCAAAAACACACGCTAACTAAACAGAACTGAAACAACAACAGAAATTGCTGGAGAAACTCAGCAGGTCTGGCAACATCTGTGGAGAGAAAACAGAGTCAATGTTTTGAGTCCAGTTATCTTTCTTTAGAACTCAAACCAAACAGAACAACCAGGTGATTAACAGAAACGTCATGGACAGATTTTTGGTTTACATTTTTAAAAGAGTTAAAGCGTAGTCACTGTTATGTAGGCAAATACAGCAGCCAAAGGCATACAACAAGTAGCAGCAAGGGGAATGGATGATTTGCCTCTTTTAGTTGTGCTCATAGCAGATAAAAATTGCCAAGAGAAATTCACTGCCCTTCAAATATTTCCACGTGACCTGTAACGCCCATTGGAAATGGCAAACCCAGACAATAATTTTAAAATCTCGGTCGCCAAGAAGTACCTCTGACAATGCAGCACTCTCTCAATTCCACATTGAAGCCTCAACTTAGATTGGATCTTGAAGTGAATGCTAAAACTCCAGCTTTCTGCAGCGAAAACACAATACTACTGCTGAACCTAACTCTGTCACTACACAGTCCATGATCGAGGAACATAGAGGTGAGAATTTCATTTCGAAATTAAAAAAAAGGTTGAAGTTCCAGGAATTTTTGGCACTCTAATGTTCTACTCCCCATTGTGATGAACTTAACAATTTCCATCCTATTGTTCCAAGTAAGGGCAGTATGATAAAGGATGATTCCAAATAAGGGCAACTCCACCAGCACTGACAGTACGACGATTCCACTTTGCAAAGACAGGCTAAATTTCAGTCTAATCATGAAGCAGAGTTAATTAATTTTCACGTGAAAATCATCAGAGTGGAATCCATGCCTTTCTGCTGAAGAAATTCCAGTCAAGGCAAGCTAAGTGGAACATGGAAGTGTTAGTTTGTTATATAGTATTTTATATTTTTAATTAAACTTACAAGTGCAATCTTTTGTGCAAATTCGTCGCCTCAAAGAGATAATTTACAACAATGTCCTTCAATATGCAGAACTGCATAAAATGAAATATTCAGATTAATTGAATGCAATTAATTCTATAAATGATGAAGATTCCCCAAGTTACAGATCACCGCATAAAATATGATCCATGGTGATACAAAGTTTCAAACCATTGTAGGATGATACATACAACACATAATCCCTATCAAAAGAATTTATAATTTTAAGCTTTTTATATACTATCATTATTGCCTTCTGAAAAGAACCAGACTATTTTTAATAAGTGGGAGATAGACTTTATTATTGATTTTTATACAAAACTTGACAAGTGCAACCATCAGCTGTGTACTCAGCCCACCAAAGTTCAGAACAGGCCAAGCATTCAGCCATAATTGTTATCACTTCCACTTCTACACATTGGAGCATGTCAAAGAAACCAATGAAGGATGGAATAACCTGTCACTGCCTGTGCTCAATGAACTAACATAGAGGAAAGGGATAATGCAATATATCTTGGCTCCACTAGTCTCATCTGTGTTTCAGCTATCTGCATTCAAGCATCTTTAACGGGATGGCTATTTTTACCAAAGATTCACCAACAATCTCTCTAGTGACTGCTATCTTTACTAATGGTTCACCCCTGATAATTTTGCCTAAGTTCCCAGTATGCATGTCTGAACCTTGATTTAACACCAAGGGGGCACTTCACTGTCAAGTTAAATCCTGACCTCAGTTGTCATTTGAAGACATGCACTTCCGGGGTTGCTGAACAGTAATCAGGAGCAGAGAGCCCGTTTGCTCATTTCCTCCTCCTGAACATTGAAACAAATTGCAACTTCTTATTTGTTGTTTCAACTAACACCAATTAACTCAGCACATCAAACATCATTAATCAACATGGCATATTTTGGGGATCAAAGTATGACTAAATGGCTTCAAGCCAGATTGGAAAAGTCCAATGTTATCCAGAATTAAAGAAGGAGACTGTCTCTTGTATTTTATGAATAGACATAGGCCATTTAACCCATTAAGCATATTCCTGCATTCAATTACATCTGGGCTGATCTGTACATCAATGTGCTCCTATTGTTTAGTTCAATATCCCTCAATACCTTTAACTGAAGAAAATCTATGAATATTTATTTTGACATTTTTCATTGACTTTGCCTCCGAATGTTTGGGGTGGGAGTTCCAAATGAAGGTGCGTTTTTCATGCTTCCTGTCATCACTCCTGAATAGCCTGGCTCTAATTTGAAGGATACTCCCTTGTTGTGGAATCCCTAAGCAAAATAAATAGTTTCTATCTGTCCCTTCATTTCTTTTAAGCTTGGGCACCTCAATCATATTATCCTTTAGCACTCCATTGGACCTGCCTCCACCACACTTCCAGGCAGAGCACTCTACATTCGAACCACTTATTATGTAAAAAAAACTTCTGATATTTCATCTGTGCCCTTTCATTCCTAATTCTTTTACCAGTGTAATTTTATTTTTCCCTAATAACTGTATCCAGATTTCTCATGATTTTGAAATTCACGAGCAAATCTCCTGTTAGCCACCTTCTCTCCAAGGCAAACAGTCCCAACCCCTCCAATCAATTTTCATTAATGAAGATTCTCATCCTTGGAATCATTCTTGTAAACTTCTTCTGCACTCTATCCAATGTGTTCACATCATTCCTATGGTGTGATGCCCAGAGCTGCACGTAATACTCCAGATGCGGTTTAACAAGTGTTTTGTACAAGTGCAGTATAACCTCATTGCTCTTGTACTCCTACGTTCCATTAGTAAAGTCCAGATACTGTATACTTTATTTACTGCTTTCTCCACCTCTCATTCCCTGATCTATGCATTAACATGTCTAAGGCTCTCTGCTCCTGCACACCCTTGGAATTGTTTTACATTGGTTTCC